TCTTACAAAAACAGGTTGGTCTCACGTGATCGCAAGTCTATATATATGTATATTTGATTTGTTAATATTAGCAAAAAGCGGGTTCTTGTACGTCACTACCACAGTGAAGTTTTATGTCGGTTCTTAATTTGTTGAGTTGGCAACAACATGGCAAGAAGAAAAGCAAAATGAGGTTCTTATAAGTCKCCCCATTGGAGACGGCTTTATCTTACTCATACTACCAAATACGGATTGTTATATGATCTGTGTAATTATTTTCTTACAGGCCAAAGATTTGCCCTTCGGGAAGGAGGCCGAACGGTGGGTGCAGGAGTAGTTTCAAAGGTGATAAGCTGATAATTGAATGATGGAGATGTTGGTTTTATTTAAATTTTTTGGTATTTTGACCACTTGGAAAGAGGAGGTAAGAGACATAAAATTTGCAAACATTTGTTTGTTGTCTGTCTTTATTCAACAGCATCATCAAATCTTACGATCGAACTCAAACAAATACTTGTCTTCTAGTTGTCGAAAAGCAAAACCAACGAGTAAAGTGAATACCCGATGGGTGCGGTAATAAAACCCGAAAATTTAATTGGAATTCACATGTAAATTAAGAGTCTGTCTGGATTCAGYCTCTCTTCTTTGGGGCTTAATGACACTCTGCAGATGATTAGGAATCTCCAGAGTGTTGAAACTTGAAAGGTAGGAGTTTTGTGATGCCACATTTTTTGTTCTATTTTTTGAGACATCTGCAAGAATAACCACCTATTTTATGTATTATTTATCATAAATATCTTGATAAATATTTGTTATTCATTATGAATGTTGTGATGGCTATTCATAATGAATAATTCATGAAARAGGCGTGGTTTTCTTTTGAACCTGTCTCTTTTTCGGGGATGTTTGTTTACAGCTTAATGGTTTGGGTGACTTGTTTGTTTAGCTATATTGGAATGTTTCGTTATGGCTTAATCATCAAGCTACAATGGCTGTATGGAATAATTTAGATCTCTCACTTATTCATATCAAGTGATCTTATACAAATTGTAGAAAATATTAATTAAATATACACTTGACAATCTCGATAATGTTCTAATGATTATAAATTAATATTGAGTTATCTTAGAAAATTAATATTGGTTTGAGTTTTTTGGCTTCAAAAATTAAAAGTGTTTGGAGGTCGCAAGTTTAAATTCAAGGAAGAATAAAAATCTTCTTGTGGTCATGGAGGTTCAAATGCAGTGACCTTCAAGCTATCCGTAAAACAAGTGGTCATTCTAGGGTTAGTCACATAACGGATTGGATATTCAGGTTAATAAGAAAAAATGATATTTCCTCTCTCTCAAGATAATAGAAAGTGGAATTTTCTTTTATAATTAAAAGTAAAATGAAAATGTAACGTCTGTAGACATTGATTTTTAAAATTGAAAACTTATTTTATTACAAACTAAAATAATATAGTAGATAATTATGAACACTTATTTTATTACATACTAAAATGATATAATAGATAATTAATTTAAACGAATTAAGTATTTATTTTTAAATCGGTCAAAAATCAAGAAGTCGATATTCAAAAATTTGAAAGGTGGTTCGAATATTCAAGAAGTTAATATTCAAAATTTTCAAAAGTCAATAACAAAAATATACTTCTAGAAGCATGCCAACGATTTCGATTCAAATATTAAATGAGTACTTGTAAATTTTGAATTTTACAAAAAATTCAAATATTTTTACCTGATTTTTTCAAAAAGATTTCATAATGTAATTAATCAATGTTTGACTTTACCACATATTTCATGTATTATTGTCGTTGCATCTGTATTTTTATCTTTTTAGAATAGACAAATTGCATGAAAAAATAGCGTACTTTAATTTGATTTCTGTTTTTAGTAACGTATTTTCAAAACTTTCGTTTTGGTACCTAAAATATAAAATTTTAAACATTTAAGTATCCGGGTAACCAGTTGAAACATTAATCGGTTACTATGCTGATATGACGAGTGAATTGTGTTGAATAACAAATAATACTGAGTTTGATGTCACATCACTCGCCACATCAACATGGTAACCGATTAATGCTTCAATCGGTTACTTGAGTACTTAAATGTTTAAAATTTCACATCTTATGTGCCAAAAAGAAAAGTTTTGAAAGTATGTTACCCAAAATAGGAAACAAGTTAAATTACGTTACTTTTTCATACAATTTGTCCTTTCGGAATTGTTTATAAACTTGTATAGGCCATCATCATTTTAAAAACCTTAAACATCATTGGAAACCCAAAATTCATTTATTTTATGTAGTATTCATAATGGATAACGTGATAAATATTCATAATGAATAATACTTATTATTATTCAAGGTTAATAATCATGAATGTTACATAAAATAGATAGTATCAGAGTTCCTAAAATATTTAAGGTTTCTAAACGAGACTTTCTACTTATGTCTATGATCATACTTCCAAAACATCGAATTTGTATCAAATACAACATCCCCCCAAAAAAATGTTGTCCAACATCGTCAAATTTAACCCTCGACAACATACCTAACTCGATAGTTTCCCGCAAATTTCGTATTTTAAACGATGACGTAACGAGTGATATCCCGATTACGAGTGTTTATTTTAGGCAAAACTTGATCGAAACAAAGATCAACTCCATATCAAACGACTAAACGATTGTCTAGAATCAAATTCCCTATTTTACCCCCAAGATTTACACCATCATATCACAATCCTCGATACATTTTCACATAAAACCGACCGTCTATTCTTTTTATCTGCTAAAGCTGACGTGACACTTTAAAAAAATCCCATCGCAATTCCAGCGAACGGGATTCAAGCAAGCCTCAACACCACCACTGCCATCAATGCTGCACCTCTAAAGTAGATTTCCTTCACACTTCTATCCAAATTCTTCATCAGTTCTTCATCTTTCAMACCTTTCTTGTTTGAATTCTTGTTAATCACCATGATCGTATCCCTGAGTCTGTTGACCGCCCACGAAAGCCACACGAGGCCAAGGCCGAGACCCGTGTTGAGCAGTTTCAATGCACAAAACGGCACTCGACCACTGGCTAACTTACACATAACCGAGAAAAGAACAGCAATGCCCATTCCGGCAATGCTAGCAGAGAATTGAGTTAGGAGATTGGGTAGCTCAGGACCGGATTTCTTTAGAACGGGAATAGCGGCTTTCCCATTTCGGTTTTTGTCAACTATGATTGATAAGAGGCTTTCACAGGCCTGAATGTAATTACTTCTGTGTTTGATTGCTGTCTTATTGCGGCTGCCCTTCTTTTTCTGTGACGKCTTCACTTTGATCTTCTCCGGGCTGTGTTGGATTAAATCAGCGTGTTAGAGTGTAAAATTGAATCAAACGAACCCAATATATTTCACCGAAAAGTAGGGTGGGATGTATATAGAACTGACCACCCCAAATGGTAAGTGGTGGTTTCATGTTGAATTTTAAAAACCAAATAAAAGAACCCATCATATCCCACTTGAAAAGTAGAGTACAACGAATGGTAGAGCTGTTTTTCCTTCATATTAGAGTGTAAGGGCCTGTTTGCTAGCAGCTTAATGGGACTCATAGCTTATTCGATCAGCTATACATGATTGTTTAGTAGTGGCTTAATAATATAGAAAGTGACTTATTCAGTAAGCTTCTAAAGGAGAACTTTATGTAGAAAGCCAAGTTTTTCCAAACCTGCCCCTCCCAATTAAAGAACCATCCCAAACAAAAACTTCCCAGACAAATTAATCCACAAAGACAGCTTTATCCATACATGACTTGATGGAAAACCAACCAAACAGCCCCTACGAATCAYATCTTAAAAGGGCGACATGCACCAAGGCGCTTTTGTTTTATAAAGGTCGGGAAGGGAGATCTTTTATTGGTTGCAAAGAGACTCTTCGTGATACTTACCAACACAAATTGAGCAAGTGATATCTGGATAAGAGTGCAGTCTGGGTAAGCGCTAACTGAAAATGGTTGTCTACCAAGTATTTTGTAGTAAATTCTTACCGGTATATAAAAAATCGGGTAAACGCTGTCTGACTTGGTAAGTGACATTTTTTTGGTGGCTGACTAGGTCAGCACCTCGGTCAGTCAAAAGTGTAGGTAAACAACATCTCCTCCTAACGGGTAAGAGGCTCTTATCCAGTAAGAGACACTCAACACCAAATATCTAGAATTCGAGGAAAAAAAAATTATCTTGTGGGATCACGTAAGAAAAGGTTACTCGTGTACATAAATCTTGTCAAACATTCAAAATAACCCGTAACAAAATTTGACTTTGAAGAACGACCCATTTGACCACATAAGTCAAAGCATATGGAGGGGAATAAGATGAACCAAATGAAACCAAACAAGCCCGGTATATCCCACATGGAGGTGGGGTATGAGGAGGGTAAGATGCACATAGATTTGACCTCTACAACGAAGAGTGGAGCATTTGTTTCCATGAAAACCCTCGACTTATGAAAAGTGTGTGAAAAAAAGAGATTTTGAAAACCTAGATATAAGTAAGCAATAGCAATACAAATAGATGCAAGAATTACAATATGTAATAAATAAACATACCTCTTCGGAGGAGCGACCATCACATTTTCTAGCTCCAATGCGGAACCATAATAGCTTGTTTCATTGTAATCCAACCTATTCATGACACAAAATTTTCAATCTTCACGAAAATTATACTTGTTTGTGTCAACATTCGCATGTGAATACATACCTATTGAATTGTGGTACCAACGTTGACTGCTTTCTCCAATTACTCGAGTTCTTTAACAAATAAAACTCCGCAAAAATCGAAAGTATGTTCTTCATCTCAGTCTTGGAAACTTCAGAACGCCGAACCAAATCACCAACAAAGTCCATCAAAGGTTTCTGGGAGTCGAATTCGATATTTGGATATATAAGAGGAGAATCTGTAGGACCCACATCAGGAAAATACGGTTTGTAATCGGTTGTCATAGTTTGAAGCCCGTTTAGGTCAGAAAGTGACAACAAATCTAGCCCGTCTCTTTCTAATTCACTTAATCCCGACATCAAAAACTTAAAGATTCTATTGTGCCTTGTGCACTGTTCCGTGATGCCAACGCTGAAAAGCGGCAAAATAGAGCAAGAATCTGTACAAAACAGCCATGAAGTTATAAGATTATTGATACAACCCTGAACCGTGAACCCTGAACCCAAAATGAAACAAAGAAAGAAAATGAAAGGAAAGGAAAGGAAATGGACAGAAAGGTGGGGGAAAACAAAAAAAAAAAAAACGATATGTTTACTTCCGGCACTTCCCTCCCCAATGTGGGAGGAAAAGGATCGAAAGAAACGATAACCCTTAAACAATATAGTAAAATTACAAAACAACCCATCAATTTCACAACCACCAAAACAAATATAAAGGGTATATTTGTAAAAATGACATCTTCCCTTTCCTTCCTCTCCGGTTCAAGAACATGAAATTTTTCCCTCTCCCTTCCCTTTCAATAACACAAACAAAAAACTCTCTTTCTTTTCCCCTCAATTTAAGAACATGGTGTAAATGGAATAAAGAAATAGAACGATGGGCGAACCTTGGATATCAATGAGTGCAGACTTTGTAACAGTCGGTTCAATCATAACAAACTGGTTGTTGTCGATTAACCCACTTATCGGTTTCCATGGCTCCTCACTTTGTTGCGGGCTCATGTTGAGGGGACTTGATCGTATGATATCTTCTCGTAGTTCATAATTAGGCAAGAGACGCTGAGAATCCTGCAATAAGAACATGACGTATGGATTTATATATGATCTAGCGGACAGAAATCACAGAATCACAGGTAAATTAACTCAAAACTACGACAATGAAATAAAAACCCTTCCAAACATCCCAATCCATAGACTTATTAATCCACACAGTCAGCTTTATCCACACAGGACTTAATCGAAAACCAACTATACATCCCCTTAGCCACTTACCCGTTAAGCACTTATCAAACGGCCCCCTAAATTCGTGGAATTGTGGTGTTATTGCTTTGGATTTGTGCTCTAGATTATAGATGATAACTAAATAGTAGCATATYATATATCACCATGAAAGGGAGAAGATAATGAGCCAAAAAAAAACATATAATCCAAAATTCTTCAATTCTGCTTTGTTAATTATGAATCACAATATCATATAACACTGATGTTAGTAATCAAAAATCGAATCTAATCCCATATTAATCCAGACATCCAAAACCGATTTCCAAACGAATCACGATCTAATTAACCCTAATTCATCAAATCCACAACAATTTCACACAAATCGATATGAACATCGACAACTATGAACACCTAGAAGTACACAGTCCCACACTGTTCTGGATTAATCAAGTCAAACCAATCAAATCAACACAACCAACAACGATGATCAAACAAACCTAATTGAAAGGAAAACTTGAAGAAACCCACAATTTCCCAACGATTTCACACAACTTATATGAACAGCTAGATAACAGACAGTCCCTAATTCATCTGGATTGATCGATTCAAATCGGTGCATGATAAAACTATATCCGATCAAATCAACACAACCAACAACGATGATCAAACAAACAAAACTGAAACAAAACCCACAAAATCGGGAAATTAGAAAGGGTGAAATGAAACTGACCTTAGGTACTCTGTTCAAGCCTTGTTCTGGGCGAAATACGAGGGTAGGAAGATACCCATTAGAAGCCATAACATACTGCTTCAACATCAATCGCGAGAAGAAGAAGAAGAAGATAATATCAGTTACGAAATTAAACCCAAATCCTCWCTTCGTCGTGTGTGAGGGTCACAAATCGCACCATTTTTCTACTATATGACAACAAAGATTTTCTCGAAAAATCATGGGTTTTGCTTGGTGAGGAAAAAGAAAAGATATAAAATTATAATTGGGATTTATGTGATCCAATTGATTTTGGATTTTTAATTGTTGGATTTCGATTCTTGTGGTCGTGGCTTTGGAGGATCCACCAGAGGATCCGAGTCCAGCCAGAAATGAAGCAAGTTGTTCTTTGTAGACGACAAATAGGAGTCGGTATTTGAGTATTTCTCAGAGAAAGTTACATAAATGGTCCTCCAACTATATTTCGATTTCCAAATTCAATCCCTACGAAAAATAAATGGCAACAAGATTGTTTTTAATAACTTTCGTCTCACCTTTTCCACACGAGATGACTATCGATGACTAGAAATAGTGCATTTTTTTAATTAACCTGAATATYCAATCCGTTATATGARCCGACTAATCTCATAACAAATATATATTTTCTTAAGGTATGTGTACATCATATCAAGCCTTAYATCTGTACGAGATTTACTAGATTCTTTTGGTTTATTTGCAACATGGTCGTTGACTGGTTAGATGGTAAGCTAACGAAGGGATTAAAGCGGGAATCAAACCCTAAAWTAATAACCAAAAATGTATAATTTTCTCTTAAACGGATGCTTTTCGAACATTAATACTTAGTCGAGGGATGATTCTTGTAATTTTCTCTTTGCACCATAATTGTAGTCCACAAATATATGCTTTTATTTTTCAAAAGTTCCAAAACATAAATGCAATTTACAATTAATAACATGAACATGTTTAAGGATAATGAAGATGGTAGGTTCACAACAAAGACAACTTTGATAGAAATTCATTGGTTGTGTTTTTTTTTTTTAAGTATATAATATTTATATAGGGTAAATGCAACAAATAAATTCATACATTTTTTGTATTTAGTTGGATGTTTGGGTATTAAGAACGTTTGTTTTTTTTTAATATAAATAAGAACTTAAAAGCTCTAAATGTACTCTGAAATTTTAAGTGGTAAATGTATCCTTTAATATATTTTAATCATAATCCGTCCTTTATCAAATGGTTCATATGTTTTGGGGTTGGAAGAGATTTATTAGCACAAAATATTTATTCTTTATATTTTTGTAAAAACTATTTATCTTTTATATTTTTGCACTAGTTTGACCGATTCAAATTTCAGACGTAAAAACAACAGTATTACTGATCCAGATTTCATACTTCAACACCACCTCTTATAAATCAGAAGTAAAATCAGATTCCAGACTTCAGCACCTCTTAAAAAAAAAGCCACCTAAATGTGTAAGAGATAAATAATATTTTTATTAGCCCCTATTTATGGTGTAAAAAGAAGAGAGCTACGTCTGACTTAAACTTATTATTTTATATGCTTTTTTTAAACTGTATTATGATTATAAATTAATAAAATATTATAATAATATAAATAATACTGAAATTTTTAAAATTAGATAATATTTTGAGTTTTTAGAGATTTTGAATTTACCTTTTATGTTTTATATAAATTATAAAGAATATGTTGGAGATGTTATAACATTCTTTTTTTTTTCTCATGAGATTGGATTATGTGAACATTTATGAGTTTTTTTTTTTTTTGAAGTATATAATATTTATATAYGGCAAATGCAACAAATAAACTCACACCCCCCCTCACCTATGGTGAGCTTTGAACCCCTGACCTCCTAGAAGGTCAAGGGTTACAATACCGCTAGGCCAAAGGCCCTTTGATAAAAATAAGTGTAATTCAAAAGAAAACATTTATGAGTTTTCAGATGATTTTTT